GGGAAAAAATTAACCTTAGGGAAGCCTCAGGTAAGTTCAGAAAAAGAGCTCATAGTTTTTACAGTGTGTTTTCAACTTTTCTTTCTGACTTTTTTTAATCGAAGCCATATAAAGCTTATTAAAATAATATGATGTTTATTTCCTTTTTTTTTCCTTTTTGTTTATTTGGTTTTAGTTTGACTGAATACTTCGCGTGTGTTTGCAAGGAAAAGGGAAGAAGTTGCATTTGACTTTTTAGGTTTCCCTGAGGGCTGCGATGCACGTGGATGTGAATCACCTCCAGCTTGCTTTATTTAACACATGGTTTATTTTAATGATCATTTTCCCTGAAGAAAGAGCGTTCACACTGTGATTTTTGGTTTGAGAAGGATGGGTTTCCCTCTCATGGGGTATTGAAGCTGATGGAATCAGACGCTGGGTTTGTCAGCTGGGTTTTGGTACGGGAGCCTCTGGTATACCCTCCTCCTGTCTGCCTTCCCAGCACATGCTCTGGGAGAGTACTGGCTGCCACTTACACCTTGCCCATTGAAGAGCGAGTGCATATCTCACTGCCCTGCCTCCTCACAGGGCATGGGGGAGCAGAACAGAACTAGCAGCACCTTAAGGCTCCTTCTAATAAAACATTCTCCAAACTGTACCTAGGAATGTTTGCAGTAGGTAAGCTTAAAAATGGGCACAGGCGTGTGCAGAACCTGAGCAAGGTGTGCTCTGTGTGTCATGGAGCAGAGGAGCTGCCCTGTGTTTTACTGGAGCAGCAGCAAGAGCAGTCGTGGAGGCAGGATCAGTGCTCTGGTGCTCTGGCTGCATCTTATCGCAGCATCTTTTAGAGCTGTTCATGGCAAAGCTCTGTGGAGTGACATGGAGAAAGCCTACCACAAGGCAAGTGAGGAGGATGCCCCATGGGCAGTGATCAGCTGCAGCAAGGTAGAAGATGTAGTGAAGAGAGACAAGAACTGTTCAGTAGATTGGAGTAAGGTCTATACTGTATTTGGTAAAATAATTATTTTAGAAATTTTGAACCATTAGTTTCCTGTGTTAGATAATACATTTCTGGAGAAGTGAAACATGTTTTGTCTCTGTCTGCCCTGTGACATGAAAGAAAAACTGGGACTTTGTATAGAGTTAAGTTAGGACAGTAGTCGGGGGGAAAAAAAAAACAGTTTTAAATAAGTATTTAGGCATTGAAAACTGCAGAATAAGTAATACTGATGAGCAGTTGATACTGTAGACATGGAAGGAGGAAAGAGAAGTAAACTGAAGATAACTGCCTCATGCAGATTAGAGGCATAGAAAAAAACACTGCAATGTAAGAGATACTGAACAATAAGCCTAGAAAAGCCACTTGAGCTCTTGTACATTTAGTTTCAGGTAGCCAAGATGAGGCTGTGTTCTATACTGTTATGGCCAACAGAGAGTTTGTAAAGGACTATTACTTTTTTCAATCACATGTAGGTAAGTATCATGTGTAAGTGATGATTTGATCCCAGGCAAGATGGTGGCCATCAAAGCTAACAATGGAGGACAACTGAGAACCTTTTGCTACTTTGAATCTGGAAGTAATCTCATTTAGCAAGGGAGGAATGACAGGACTGAGCACTATTTACTTACATGGAACTTTGGGCTCTTCAGGTGTTTGCCTTGGTCTGCATTAGGCCAATGAAGGTCACCTATCTCTGGTAGTACACCTCTTGTAGCAGTACCTGTTCCTTTCCCCAGAAATTAAAAAAAAAATAAAAAAAGGGGAGGTGGAAGAGGGGTGGGCTTCATCATTATGTTTCATGTCCAACAAGGTAGGATTAAATCAAGAGTAGCTATTGGCCTTTTATGTTGAGCATTTTACCTTTACAGTCAGTATAAGAGTTTGTAAAAGCTGTGTACACTGGTTCTTGTTGGGAAAAGTCAGCAGTTTCACATACCTGGCAGGAATTAAGAATTATTACTGCCTTTGTCAGCGTTACTAAAAAATCTGTTATATTTTTGTGTTGGATGGTCTGCAGCATAAATAAGAACTTGTAGTAGATCTTGATCCTTTATAAGATTGCAGTTTTGTTAAACGTCCAGTTTTTGCAGCTTGTTTTTGGCTCCCTGAGCCATATGGATGCATTTCTTTGTCCAAGTTCTGCAGTGGTACAATGTACAGACTTGAAGACCTTCAAAGATTGTGCATCTTGCATACAGAGCTGTAGTTACTCACTCCAGCACTTCAGATCTGAGAGTTTCATTTCTAGCTTTCATGATGCTGAGAAATTATTACACAGAAGGAAGGGTGTTACTGACGAAAAGAGCAGTCGCGTCACAAAGCAGACTTCATAAGAATTATTCTTACACAGTAAAACTGGGAGGGGTGAGATTCTGATTTGTGACTTTGCTAATGCAGTGGTGTTGCCTTTCATATACAGGTTGTAGGTGAAATCTTAGCACAGGCTGCTTGTAATAGCAAGCCAGCAGAGTTTGCAGTATTACACTTCCTATCTAGCTAGTGGTCTTCTTGCAGGAAATCTTCTAGGGTGACCTTGACCATGATCTTAGAAAGAATATTAGGGATTGAATGAAACTAGGAAATCAGGTTGTCTTGCTTCTTCAAACTTGTCTCTTGGCAGCAGCAGTGTTTCAGCTCATGCTGTTTGGGAGGATAAATGATCTTCTCTTCTAACACTGGCAATTCTGTCACAGGATATGGAATCAGAAATGAACTGAGAGACAACTTTTAAAATTGCTATGTATCATATTCATTATGATATTCAGATAAGCCCAAGAGATTCCTCTCTATGTCATGGAAGTTGGTTTTGGTGGTTTTTTATTGTTTCTTAGATTCATATCAATAAACAATGCCAAGAGCATTACCAGTTGTCTTCTTTCCATAGTTATCTTGGTTTACTTTGGGATTCCAAATTTTTGGTCCAAGTCATTTTTATTTTAAGGAAGATGGAGTTACATTGAGTACTTGAGCTGCTTGGCTTCATTTGTACAACTCATGATGAGTAAAAATAGTGCTGGTCTTGTCTTTTAGAATAGATCTCCCAGAGGGCTTTTCATCTTGGGTTTTTTTTTTCCTTCAGTAGTTTCTCACACATTTGAGTCTACAGGGTACACACTTTCCAAGCTACTTTAGTTATATTTTTTGTTCCTGTATTTTCATGTTATTTTAATGTGTTCTTGTATTCTGGTCTACACACCTATTATTTCTGTTCCTAGAATAACTTTTATTTTCTTCTGGTTTCATCAACTGTTTCATTATCACTATGCTATTTCTTCTTATTCTTCATTGTTTTACTGAATAGAAATGGTAATTAAAATAATTAGAAGTGCTGAATATGATAGGTTTTAGCACTTAAATGAAATCTGGTCTTTGTTACTGATATTACATTGCTGAAAGTTGTGCGTTTTTGGGGGGGGGGGGGGTGGTTGGGGTTTTTTGTGTTTTTTTTTTTGTTTTTTTTTTTTTTTTTTTTTACCTGGCTGTAGCAGACGCCACCCTCACTCCAATCCAACAGAGGAAAAGAAGAAAAACTGTGGAGAAGAATTCACATCTAGGCCACTCCCATTCTATCCTGTCTTTCCCCCTTCCCTGTCACCCTTGACTTAATCTATTTAATCTTTGTGCGCTCGCCTGCCTTTGTACTCATTTATTTACTCCATTATTTATTCCTTTTCTCTCCAGTGTTCAGGTTATTGATGCTCCCTTGTCTCCAATAAAAAAACAGTGAGCCTCTCTTACACAGGAGACAAGATGGATGCTGAAAGCATGTCTTTCCTTTGTCTAGCTGTAGTTTGCTTTGCAGGAAAGACTAGTTAAATTTAACAGTGAGTAGCAGGAAATAGTGGATAGTAGTTGGGTTTCTCTTGAATAGTGGGCAAAGGATGAAAGGGTAGGGTATAACTTCATTTTTTTTGTGATGCATTGAAATTGGACTGAACCAAAACCTGATGATGTTATGTTGTCACAGATACTTATATACTATGAATACTGAAAATGTGAGTATTGAGTACTGATAATCCTGAACACATTGTCTACAGGAGGGGAAAAACAAAACAAACCAAAACAACCTACATTTTACTCTGCTTTGTTGCTGAAGTCTCTTTGATCTGAAAAGCTGGGTCTGTCCTGTCACACAAACCCTTAGATTCCCTCCACTGTCAGTGAATGTGACCAATGCTCTGAGGTCTAGCAAACACGATTTGTCTGTTGTGTAGGAGCTTCTACTGTCAGATTTTTTTTCATTCATCACCCAGCTACATGGCAATTGATATATAATTGCCTTAGAAGTAGAAAGGTTTAAGGATCTTGTTACCAGTTCCTATAGCCTGCCAGACCACATGCTTGCTCTCTATTGATTTTTAATAAGGATGCTCAATACTGTCTACAGTTTCCATGCAATATAAGATAAGGACTCAAACTTCTACTGTGTGTCTAGTCATAATGGCTCCTTTGAAATCATTAGGATCTATCAGGCGAGTTAATTCAGACTTAATGACCTCAGAAGGGGTATGTATTGACAAGAATAAACAGATTATAAATTGCTGTTAGCAAATTAATGATTTCTGTCATATTCCCATACTAAAAAAAAAAAAAAAATATACAATTTTTTTCACTTGTCCCATAACTGTTCCTTGTCAAACATCCCTAAACCTATAAGAAATATGTGTTTTCTTTAATAAGTACTATTTTGAAATTACATTAATGT